TAAACAGTCGCCAAAAGCTCATCAGTAAATAGTGACTTGTTGATAGTATATGAATTATGTAATTATAACTTCTATTAAGTAATTAGTCAATTTGCCAACAAGTTTGGCCTGAAATCAAGTCAATGTTTTCCAAATATTATTGCTGTAGTTATCGTGATAATATTAGCGGGCACGGGATCAATGACCGCTCCAGTTCTATTCTAGTAACTACAACTAGTGATACAACTTTGTTTCTGGGAAGTTTCATTTACTGAACTTATTCATTTTCGTGTTTTCAATACTGTTAAACGTATCTTTGTTTAGATATATTATGTTAATTATAATATACTACTAGTAGAGATAATAAGTAAGTAAAATTAATAAAAAATTAACAAAAAAATAATATCTTTATTGTTAAAATTATTGTCAATATTTCTTACTATTGACTTTTTATTACCATGAGCACTTCGAAATAAAACCAATTCAGTACATTATCTTGACTGACACCGTCAAAAAATTTTGTCATACCAACATGACAATCTGTTATATTATCGGTCTAAATTTAAACACGAGGAACAAAACTTTAAAATGAACAAAAAAGCTAAGTTGAATATGCAAAAACATCTGTTAACATAATACGAATGAACATATATGTGTTTTAAAAAGAAAAACATATGAATATGATAACAGCAGCCCGGTGCGCACGAGTCGACCGCGACAAGCGAACTAGGCGTGGGAGTAGACGAGGCGACGACGCATCGCATTGTGTGGGTATTAGGCAACATTGTTACACAAAATACATTTGGCATGTTTATAACACATTATATTTCTGACTATTTAACAACAAATACAACACTTTTTTGACAACATTACAGCATGGCTATTTAGTTATTGGTGCAACTGCGAAATATTGAACGATACTAATATACATACTTAAACGTACGCAAAAAGCCGTATGTTTATCGAGATTGAATTCAACAGTACGATGCAAACACGAACCGGCCCCAAAGCACCACCAAACATGGCAATAGTGTCCTGCAAATGAATACTTGCGATAAATTTATAAAAAATTGTTGATCACAAGTACCTACACGAAATGGTCTCGCAAGCAGTTACGGGCTGCTGGATAAAGTTCGCACGCTTGTTGCCTTTTATAGTCTGGTAGCCTATCCACTGTGTCGAAAGCTAAACATTAAGAAAATACGCAAGATTGACTATCTGTTGCGCCACGCGATCAGTATGAATGTTCCTTTCCCAAATAGTGTATGTAAAGAGATTCGTTAGTTAAACAGCGATCATACATCAAACATCTATGTAATATAGTAATTACGTATATCTGGTTCTTACGAAACGGCTAATATCTGAACTAGTAAGAACTTATTGCATGTCGTGCTATCATTCTACAACTTTTTACATCGAAGGAAAGTTGCGCCGCGAGACCTATACAGCCCTATTGTATCTATTAAAAAGCTACTTTCTCATTTCTTGCCATTTACGGTCCGTTGAGAAAATCGAGATGCATTTTGCAGTATATCAGCGCATGATGAACAGACAGAATGACAGAATAACTTAGGCCCACTTAAGATAGCCGACTCATTTATCGATTCTCTTATTATTAATTAATTCTTCAAAGCGCATTTGTCTTAGAGGTGGTATAAAAACATATGTACTTATGACACTGACACAAAAAGTTAGGCGTCTGTTGTGCTCGGTGAGCAAAACGATTTAAAGCAAAAACGCGGTGTTAATACACATGGGAAGCCTTGAGCGTAAGTATCGGGTTGCGGCTGCGCGGACGGCTGTCGGCTTTAGTTACATGGACGACCGCGCGTCCGCCACATCTTCCTACGTGCTCTTCAAATAACACACATTACCCCTTATCATAGAGTACGAGTAAACTTATTCACTAACTATTTTAATCTCAGAGACAATTGCAATCCATCACACTTTAAGAGTTGCAAACAAATTGGAACTTGTTATGAAGTCGTTCAGCTCGTTACCCCGTGTTTGTTCATGATATGCGATTGTACTTTTACAAGTATATACATGCATGGAGGACGTGAAAATTACCGCTGCGATAAATTCATAAGCTCGGCTTTAGGTCTTACGAGCAATACAACCGGTCGACGCAATCAATATACTGGCAGACAGCGAGCCACCATAAATAGAAGAAGTGGACTCCGATTTAATGATGCCGCTTCGCGAAAACGTGGCTCGTTTGCCGCTGTTATCAATCATGCTTACAGCTCTATATCTCTGTGTCGTTTCACTTGATTATTTGATTCCAGTAGGAAGGAGAGGGTCGATATTTATTTAATAGCTTTCCTATTCAATTTTATATGTACAGTGTTTAGAAGATTTACTTTTTGAGGAAGTATCTCGGCCTATCTCTAAGCGTTTGAGACAAAATGAAAAATCATAGCCGCAGTTGTATTTGCAGCACACAGAGGTTAAAAAGGCGGGTGGGGAATTATGAAGGTTCCCTCGGCGAGCAAACAGTGTATTCTCACGCGAGGTGGAGCGAAACGAGTCGGCTACAAGACAATACCAGTCGTTTTATTTACGCGATAGATAAGTGAAGAAAATGTTTTAAATTATCTCGCGTGCAACAGTCGAAGCACGAGCGGACGTTCCAGGTACTATAGTAGCACTTCGCCCGTCAGACGAACACGAAATACTACTTAGATTAGCCTCATTAATTATCTATGTTAAAGTTTAACATTGAAGATCAATTATAAACGCTTTTTTAATTTCTAATGGTAGATAAATTCGAAATTGTTTTATTAAGATCTTGTGTGCACGTTTAGAATCATCACAGTAGAATTAGAATTAAAAGTCACTTGATTTGCCTTATTTTTGGCTGCATTTCTAGCAAAAATGCAACAAAGCCGTCCTTATTCTAAGTTCAAGGACATCTTGCTGATGAAATTTTGGCACTGGCATTTCTAAAAGTTATTGTGACTTAAATATGGCCAGTGATGTAACGAATTGTTTGACAACAACCCGAAAAAAACATATAGTAAAATTTGGAACGAACATCAACCAGTAATCAAAAAATAAAAGATATAGGATGTGCGAGTACAAATATTACAATCAACGAAGAAAAAAAAAAGAGTTTGTACAAACTAGCTTATGCTGTAATAAATAACAAACAAATGCTGAACAAAAATAGCAGCGGCTCAACGGACAGGCGAATGACCGTCGCTTGACACACAACTGGCTCAAGGCCCGTGGAGATTAGATACCAGCGCCGCATAACAAACACACATAACGACTGACAATTGCAAAAGAATCCGTGTCGAGAACAGCCCAGTATAGAGCTCTTTAAGGCTAAAAAAAAGTCTGACACATTATTTGGGAAACGAGAATTTAAAACGTGATTTTTTACAAGTAAATCTGAGTACAAGTTAAGTCTGTTAGAACAATTATGATAACGATCTTTATTAATAATTTACAATCAAAACCTATAATTACACAGGCCAACAAAATGTGACAGTTTCTTTCCCAGAAACCAGAGTATACTTTCCCGAGGGACTTATGTGCGCTAAATCCAAAATCGGCCGCAGAATTGCTCTATCACGTCAGGTTTCTAAGATATTCTCACCTAAAAGTACAAAAAAAAACATTTTTGGCCATTTTTTAGCTTATGTATCGCTTCAAATTTTATTATGGCTAAAAAGTACACAGGGTATCTTAAAGTTCAAGGCTTCAGCTGACTGCTTTTATAGTTGAAGGTTTGTTTAGTTGAATTCGGGGTGGGCAGCGCTTGATTGATTTGGTGGCTTGCGGATTTATTGAAGGTTTACTCGATCGAACTCGCGGTGGGCTAGGTTCGGTTAATATGGAAGCGTGAAAATTTGTTGGCCTGTGTTATTTAACGCATTAACTATGATTGCATAATTATAATCATAGTTTGTAGAATATAAACTCGACACATATACGGATCCTTTAAAAACAATTAAACAATTATGCAAAATTTGGCATAAAGTGTGGTACATAATTATGACTGCTGGGGAAGTGCTTAAAGCCAAAGATATGTAATTTTTTTATTACATTTTTTATATAATCAAGTTTTTCCAAACGGTTTAAGAGATTCTGTTACTAACACCAGTTAAGAGCTTATTCGAGGAGGCTTATTCAAAATTTACATAATATCCCAATAAAAAATAAAATAAAATAAAACTATTGAACAATTCAAATTGCTCGTTTTGGATAATGCTTAGTTTGTCATTAAAAGAATGAGTTATTAAACTTTTTATCCCATTTTTATCAACATGAAATATAACCTATTTTTTAAAATTCGTCACATTTAACTGAAGGATAAGTGAGACAGCGTATACTGCTTTCTAGCCATTTCTGTCATTTCTCTGGATTTATAATAATTTTATTGTTAAATAAAATAACCAACTATTAAGTCTAAGGATTAAAAATGTTTCAATTCCTGCTGTTGAGACATGTGACATGTTTTTCCTAGACCATATTCTCAATCATTTTATTCTAGCACAAAACCATTTACTTTCGTCTGGATAAAGGCGTGCCTCTTAAAACATACAGTGGTACGATTAAATTAAGTGTTACTTTTATTCGGTAGAAAATGTAGCGGCCACACCGGTCACCCCTCCCAGCGCCACTTATGACAGCGTTTTATCGCTAAAAGTGTCAGCCTGTTTTTATGGCGGCGACAACAAAAGCAAACTTTCACCTCTGCAAACCTTTCAAGTAATAAAAATATTTTATTGGTGGCCACCCCACGTTTAGTTAGCGCATCTCAGTTTGAAAACATCTCCTTATACGTATTATAATTAGAAGCAATAAACAACTGGAACGAAAACAATATTTTTTGTGACGTCTAATATTTGTCTGGTAAATTAAAAACACGTCAATGTTTAATATCTTTTATAATCTTAAACCATATACCTACTTAGCTACCTAATTGGTTTCTTATGTAAATACCTCTTTTAATATTTATATCAACGATGTCTGTTGAACTAAATACATACTTATTATGTTAGATTACGTACCTTAATTTGATATGAATTCACTTTGTGCTTTGGAAGAAGATTGAATGTGGAGAAGTCCATTCTTCTAGAAAATATGCCATTCGCACCGGCGCCGGCTCTGTAAAAAAGAACGAAATTTTAAAATAATATTTTCACATAATACCTATTCTGATGGCCTATGATAAAAGATTTGCTCCTCTGTTGCTTGTGATTTGTTTCAGTCTGAGAGGCGGGAAATTATTTACACTTCGTTACATTGAACAATGGTGATAAAATAGTCGTGTGTGGTTAAGCTAACAGATATATTTAGAAAAGATATGAGCAAAGCAAATTCATATCTATTGTTTTAAATATCTGCAATTCGTAGATGTTACGAGCAGACACGACCTTGCTTTCGAGCTATTAATTTTTCCGTATCTCGCGATTTCTACCCCTTTTTACTGGTGACAGTTTTAACCCTTTTGCAGTGGTGAATTGGAATCCAATTTTGTTATATGATGCTAAAAATCGACTTTTAAAAATAATGCTTAATGTTACAGCTAAGCGAACGGAACACGATTTCATTAAGTTTCATTTTAAAACTCTGGAGTTGTGCAGACATTGTAAGTTTAATTATTCATGATTATACCCGAAACCCTTGCAATGAACCACTCTTTAAAATATTAAACGACATCTTTCTAAAGGAAATCGCAAGACAACAAAGATAAAACCAAAAACCCGTTTGGCAGTTAAAAGGATCGTATACATATTTAAAAATCCTGATCAAGGTTTTAATGCCTTAAAAAATACAAGAAACATTTTACATAAATCAGCGAACGTGGAACACGCAGGATCAAGTCATAAATAAAAAATAAAATGGTACAAAAAATATCTGTTGAAATTGTATAATCTGCAAAATACTGTACATTGCATTAATGTTTTTAATCTTCAAAAACCGAAGCAAGTCTCAAGGCGACGCAAAAACAAGTTATTTTTTTCATTGTCAAGGCCAACTAAATTAGATACCGGCTTTCGTATCTCTGCGGGCGTGTCAATATAACGCTGTGTTTACATTTACGTAAAGATAAAAACAGCGATTATAATGTTGACATGGTTGTCGTGATACCAGTCTATACTTACTCGCTAATCACATGAGTATAGCAAAAAGGTGATTAATTTACCATAGAGTATTAAAGTATACTTGTAAACTTGACTAGAGAAGCGAAATATAATTTGTGAAAACACCCGTCTACGCAAACTGTTACTTGCCGCAAGCATGTGTATTCTATGGAATTTTAATATAAATTATATTATCATCAAGCTTACTCATTCGGAGTTAGCAGTCAAGACTTGTGACGACCGAACGGAAGTGCGCTCGACTTAATATGGGTAACCTTGGCCGTACAATGAGTTAGTTTATTTTCATGAACAAAAAATGGCGGCGCGGAGCCACAGACCGGCCCAGTTACGCAACACGATCGCCTTAATGCCTCCTCTGCACGTGTAAATTAAATTAGGACATAAAATGATAAGTCTTTCCGAAACTGTAAACAGTGACGGGAAATGTTATATGTAGTAGGTATTTTGTTGATAAGAATATTATTTAAAAAAACTATCGTGCTCCAAGAACAAAGAATGTGTTTATTGGGAATAAGGTCATGTGGCGCACGTGTAACATATTGTGGGGAATTTCTTAACGTTTGTTGAGAACCAATCAGATAATATTTGAGTGTTTTGGTTTATTTGTCGCCGAAGTTTATTTACGTTTGTTTGTGCACTACTCGAGCACGTGTATTTCAACGTGGTACCGATATGACATCGGCTGTCACTCAAAGGTGCACAATCCCTAGCTTTGTTTGTTATTTTGCAAGTTTAAGAATCATAATAACATAATTCTAATCTTGTGTTTTTTAGTTTTGACAATTAAGTAGCGTCTACCTGATGACAAATAGGTAATTAGACCTTTGAAAACCTTTATAACGTGAAACGTAAATAGACTTTCTTTAAACACTTGTCTAACCAATTGTGTTCTATTTCCGTAAGTACGGCAGAAAAACAGAGACGTCAAACAAAACTTTCATAGTGAAAAATTTCTTAGTGCTTAGTAAGTAGATTATTTTTAGTTTATTGCACACTGCTATGTAATTAGCCAATGCTTTGTATGAACAATACTATGTCCAGTTATAATCTTCGTGATCGCAAATGCATTTTTATTTTCATAACAATTCAATGTTGGTCTAGTGGTTAGTGACCCTGACTGCTAAGCCGGAAATCGTGGGTTCGATTCCCACGCAGGACAAATATTTGTGTGATAATCACGATTATTTGTTCTGTGTCTGAAATATATAAGTATGTTTATCAGCAGTTTGGTTACCATAGTACAGTCTCTGCCTAGCTTGGAATCAGACAGCCGTGTGTGAGATGTGTGAGGGTATTATTAATGTCCTAACTTTTTTTAAATTAATGGACACAACTATTTATTAAGCAAAGCGTTTCAATTTATACTTGAAGACCTATAAATAATTTACCTTAATTGCTATAAATATTGTCACCAATATTAGAGTGCACTTGCACTGGTTTTATACCCACTTATTCAAATGAGAATTCATTTAAAATAGCTTGTTTACAGAACCAACAGTGTCGAGTTGATATGGCAAATGCAATATGGCGATGTTGGCCTTGGTCGTTGAATAAAAATAACGATGTTTTTGTCGAGTTGATTTTATAGGTAGATATCACAAGTGCGGGCAGACGCACGGCTCGGCCCGCAGCCCTAATGCCCGCTACGTGTGTGCATTCGACCAAAATACTTTAAAACATAGCTGTAAAGGTCTTTTTGTTTGTTTTTATCTGTTTTGCTACTGGCTATGTAACATTTACAACGACATAGATGTCCTTAAAATTTACCAAATATATCCTCCATTCTCATATTGTTGTTGAGAATTTAATAACTATTAAAAAATGTATTAGGTATATCATGCGCTATACGGTACTTTTAATGGTCTTTAACAATTATTCCACTTTTAATAAAGCTAAATATAAATCTACAAAATAAATACTTAGCCGCTTTAATACGCAATGTTTCGTCCAAGTTCTTTCTAGGTTTATTGTGTATCTATTTTTTATAATAGCAAAGCGTAATTATACGTATTACGTGTATAACTTAAAAAACACTACTAAATTTATTGAAATGAATTAAATGCAAAAAAAAAGTACTTTAAACGCTAACTAATATTATTGCTTTAAACATGAATCACTCACACGCATTGAGAAATTCTCTAAGTATTCGGCAATGTGTTTACGTTTTTTGTCAATTGCTTTCGTTGGGATTTTTTTGGAAACTCAGCACAGCCGCGTTGAGTCTAAATTTTGGATAATCAAAAACTTACAAACAAAAGATAAATAATGCTAGAGTCCAGCGGCTATTACATTTTTGTTGCCTTTGTTGATTATAAAAAGGTTTAATTTTTTTTATATTATTTTATATTTATAACTCGATTATTATAACCTGCTTTTAAGATAAAATGTTCAACCTAATATAACTTTTATTTACAACCTTATCAGTTGCCCGAAACGGGTATGGCTATTCTATTGTTATTCTTATCTACATATTAAACTAGGCACATATACTATGCACAAGCGTAACTACAACTATAGGTACCGCTATTTACTTTGGATTAAGATCAGTCTTAGGTGCGGTACTCACGATAATAGCCGTTTGTAGCCCATTACTTAAGTGCTAAAAGCACTCGGCGTCGTCTAACAAGACTGATATTTTAAAATGATGTGTTTTGTTTATGAGCTCTTATATTAACATTTGTGTTTAACAAACATTCGAGGCAAGGCTAACTGGCATACCAAGATATTCGACGTATTTAAATGAACAACGAAAATCAAAGACTAAACGCTAACTTATTTGAATCAAACACTGGGTACAAATAATATTTGTTTGGTATAGCCACAGTGCTAAAAATATGAAAAACCTATAATTCGATACACAATGTGCCTAAAAATATATGTCAATCTTTTAAACCACGTGATATGCTGTGTATGTGTCGGTCTAGGTTTTAAAAATACCAGGTAGATTTTGTTAATCTCAGTGCACAGATGTGCCCACAGAACAGTGAATATTTCTCTTAAGTTCATACATTTTGCCGTGAAATCAATAAAAGCACAGTTTCAGTCTTTAAACAAACGTCAATGTCAAAGTAGTAAATTTATTGTCTGGATTTCTGTTTTAGTGTTACATTTCTGGCCTTCTAGTGATTTTTATTTCAACAACTTAGATTACCTAACTACTTTACTGCTTTCTGCAAAAATAAAAATCATAAACAACATAACCTACCATAGGTTCGAGGTCATATTTCTTGATTATGCAATTGTCAATGAAACTGAAACTATGGCCGTCTAAAGTTCATATTTTGAACTAACTGTTGGCATTAGTTTGGAACGTGTAACGATTCATCATCCATTTTAAATTCCATAAAGGCCAATTTAATTTAGTTTATTTTTGTCAGGCAGTTGTAGTACAGAAGCTGTCTGTTGGGTTTAGTTGTGAGATAAGTCGAATGTCTATTGTGATTTGAAAGTAGACATCTCAGTGGGAACTGGCTGTGAACCGGTTCAAGACTTTCTTATTCATGCGGCACCCACGTACTGCAACCGGCTTAACAGCACGAACCGAAATGTATTCAAACAATTTCTTCTACATACCCACCTTATTAGATTACAAATATGTTTATATGTGTATAGTGTAATAAAATAACTTTTTGTGTGTACACCAGGAACTTATTTTAAATGAAGTGTAGGTATGTTATTTAAAAAAGGAAGTGTAGTGCAATTGTCTCGAGTAACTGAACAAAAACTGACAATACAAACAAAAAACTGAGTCAAAATAAAAATGAAACGCTAGATACCATTATTGCCAAGTTAAAAAAAAGCCATTGTGTACTTTATCTGATACATGCAATCAAACAAAGAGTTTATGTTGTGGGGCTCCAATTTACATTAGTTGACCTTTACAGGTTGATATTGTGTTTAAAGTATAAAAATACATTCTTAAACTTTTTGTACCCACAATCAAAAAATTTATAGCCATCAATTTAAAACGATGAGTGTACATCACATAACAAACCGTTC